CTATCTTATGATGACCGGTCGACTGGTAAAGTAAATAATTTAATGAATATACACCTTTAATGAAGTGGCTAAACTCGTTCATTCTGTGCCAACACACAATAAACTAAAAATTCGTTTACGCCCTATTTCTTATTAGTGCACAATCTTATAGTTGTTGATGAAAGACTGAGACTTCTATTCTTTGATACAGTAATCGATAAGGACATATAAGATCTTCTCCTGAGTTCAGATAATGAGTAATGTCTGAAACCCCAGAATTATGCTCACGTTTTCAACATTACAAACATCTTAGAGAAAATAATTAATACGTGTAGATGGAGGTCATTTCCAAGCAATACATTAAATAGATATTCTACCAATGTTAAGGAGCTAATGTGTTGAGTCAAGTAAGCTGTTGAGAAGGTCAATCGTGATTGAGTTTGTTGCTGTTGTCAATTGTTTGGCCATACACTTTCATTGGTCCTTCAGTAGCGGCAATAACCTTCCAAGACTGGGGGTACAATATAGAACAATTGTCAATTGTAGGCCTCCCAAGAAGCTCCAGAAAGGGTTTACCAAGTAATTGTTTGAAAATGAATTCTCTGCAATCTGACCTATATTTTTGGGCTAAATCGTATGAAAATTAAATTATTAGAATATTAAAAATTTAATTATTAATTATTAAAATTGTTAGAAATAACATTGCGGTGTATCCCTTCTGGCGCCACCATTGTGGTCCTTGTTTTTGATAGTTTCTGTTGCTGTTCACATTTGACTCAGTTACTTGGTATTTAAATTTAATTGCGTTTTAAGTTTGATGCAGCCGTTAACCGTTTGACTAAAGTTACTTTAATAGTATTTAAATTGGATAGAGTTTTCAGTTTGATGCTGCTGTTAACAGTTTGTTAATTTTGTTGTTAAAGTAGGTTGAGTTTGGTGTTGGCTCTATTGTTAACCATTTCACCTAAGGAGTTTATATTGGATAGCGTTTTGAGTTTTTGCTGATTGTCCAAATTCGTTACGTTACTTTCTCAAAGTCGCAAAACAAATAAAACACAGAAAGAAAACCTTTGAAGGAAATTGATCTAAATCTGTCTGTAGTGTAGGAAAACTTAATACATTTATCCAGTACATGTACAGTGAAAACATATCATGAAATAAAACTTTCAAGACGTCTGTCTTGAATACATTGCAAAATACATTATCTGTATTTCTCTTGGGGAAACAAAATATATATACTGTGTCTTGAAACAGATTCAGTTACTCCATTTCACTTTCTCTTAGAATTTGAAATATTAAAACAGAACCTGAAACGTGTTTCTCAGACAAACAATTGTTCTATTGCAGGAAGTTTCAGGTTCTGTTATAATATTTCTATAGCGCTCTGATTGATATATTGAGCATTATTTTAACTGTGAAATTATTTTGTTACTATAAGAATGTCTTGGAATTAGAAAGAATGGAAGCATACATACTAGATAAACTTTAACAATTGAGTTCTGGAGAATCATATCTTCCAACTGGTCTTGACGCCTCTCAGATATTTAATGAGGAAAATGACTTGCCTGTCGCCTCTCGAGGCCTTATCAACTCTGTATTTTGATTGGTCAAGGCCACAGAATGGCAGTGTGACATATTCCTTTAAGAGAAATCATTCGAACCGTGATAGCGAAAAGTCTGTAGATGAAGCTCCATCTCGTAATCTAGAACCCCCCCCCCCTCCCGTCCCCTCCCGTCCCCTCCCCCTTCCACACACTCCTTGCCAAGACCACAAAAAAAAACTTTTTTACTATAGTTTGGCATTGCTATAAAGTTACTATATTTTTACACGTCGTTTCAGAAAACACACGAGCACTCTTTCGATATCAAATTGTTGGTTAGGGTAGGCGTCTCGAGCACAATGAAATATTGTATGGCAATGTGAAGGTTTTAACTTCTTTTGAATTTTACTTACATCATGACACCTAAAAGATTATTCCATTGTCGTCTGTAATCCTGAACGTTGACGTTGTGGGTAATTGAACATTTTGCTAGATCTTAAGGATATGTGATTGCCTATTTATTTAGCTGGTTCAGGTGTTGATTTTGTAATGATTTCTAAGAAGATCGATACAGATTAGTTGAGTCAACATCAAAGTTACAAGACAGGATTGATATTTTTAATCTTATAGGCACCAGTTTTCTCCTTTATTTCATGATATTGACGAAGGATCGATTCCATGATAGAAGTTGTTGTTTTAAAACTCAATACCAAAAGTTATTTTAGAATAAGCTGCTATGAAGGTTCCGGATTATGTTTAGCGGTCCATGTAATGCTTAAATTGAAATACGTGTACATGTAATTTTTGCTATCTGAAATAAATGACGCTTTGAATATCTCAATTTCAAGTATAAAACAATTACTACTGTATAATTCATGGTGTGTATGCTGGTGATTTTATGGAGCTGTAGAAAATAATGTCTAGCCAATTACCACTGAGAAATCACAAGCATACACACTATAATATTATAGAGTAGGAATTGTTTTATACTTGAAATCGAGATAGTCAATGTGTTCTTTATTTCAGAGAGCAATTGGGTGGATATTATTTCGACAGCTCCATAAAAGATTTTCTTTGTGATCGATTTAAACAGTATTTTATTTCTACTATACATATAATTTTTACAGAGTATAAATAAGGTTTCGGAAACAAGCCGAGGCTTATGTTAATCCGTTATTGAATACAATGTACCAAAATACAATAAAATATCAATGAATAGATAAATAAATAAATGAATAAGCATACTAATATATATAATAATTTAACAATAAAATAGTTTAACAGTTGATTATGTATATAAATATATTAAAGAAAAAGTGCATAGAGTTTGATCTTTCTATAAAATCATTCACCCTCAGTTCGCAAGTTATTCAATACGTAACTTCATTTGAACGTTGAAATATCTTTGTATGAAGACCTTCCATCCATAGAATAATGAAGCAATATTACACCATGTAGATTATTACACTGGTTAAGCTCATATAATTTCATTTCACACTACATAGACAGTAACCTTAAAAAATTTCTTACTTCCTCAATTTCTATCTTATAACGAGCTTGTTATCATTTGACATATTGATAAAAAAAATAACTTCAAATGTGAGAAATTCGTCAATATTATCAGACGTTTTAACGTCTCAAATTCTTCTTAAATCGATTCTACTTCCGGTTTAAACCTCTAAAACTAATGTTACGTGGTTTGATTGAAGTGTTGTTCAGTACTCGATAGAATACGATTGTGGGACTTCATTTCTGCCTCATTTCCTTTCAACATGAGAATGCTTTTTAAGTCTTAATTCGATGACTGATCAAGTTTCATTAATCAACTAATAAGGTTTATATCTTGGGCCACAACAATGCCGGATCTTCGTAAACAATACTTGTCTATCATGATTAGGAACTTTCTTGACGTTTTGTGTTTTTATGCCAAATTTCGTAATTAAACATACATTACTCAAAACCTCTATATATAAAACTTAAAGATTGCGAAACTAAACTTAAAACATTGATGACATATCAATCTATTTAAAAACTGGATACTTGCAGGAATCTCGTGAGTACAGAATCCGTTACGAGATTTTCTCGGTAAAAAGGTATCTTTGGAAGTAGTAGGGACACCGATCATTCTTTTAGATAACCATCTGTTCGGTATTCGATCAAATGCCGCAGAAAATATATGATCCATGATTTTGGCAATACCAACATTCGGACAATTGCTTACTCCGGTTTTGATATCTGAAGCTGATCTTTAAGATCAAAAAGGGATAGTAAAGAGGTTTACTAATTTTTTTCTGCTTATTGGGGACACTAATAATATCTATTTGCACCATTCCAATTTTCAATCAAATGCTTGTGAAACCTTGGCGGGGGTGACGTCATAAAATAGTAGAATTGCTAGAACCACAGACGTCTGATGGCGCAAGTTGGTGCTATCATTGTCCCCGATACGCATAAAAAATTTAATAAACCTTTTACTATCCCTTTAAGATCAGCTTCAGATATCAGAATTAAGTAGCCTACCGTTTTCTTTAAATATGTCCATTTTGAATGAAAATTGCTATGAACTATCTAGCAATTATGACACTATTATAGACTTTGGCGGCTATGAATGTGATCAAACGATAAGTCTAACTCATTAAGTCAGAGTTCTATAGTCATCAAATCAACCAAAAATGGCGTTAAAACCAATTTAAATACTATCTTCATGGTGAAGATTTTGAAGACAATGTCAATAAAATTGTCTGTTTCATAGAATTAAATTACTCTCCTCTAAACCTCAGAAGAAATAAAAAAAAAAATTCACGTTGATAAATATTATTTGAATCAGCTGGGGTTTAGAAATGTCTAGTGATCTAGTGGCATTCTGTCATATAATTATCCAAAGTGAAGTCCTTGGACACAAAATAGTTACAAAGTACCAGCTGAATCTTCCTCGGGCACAACATAGTTGCAAAGTACCAGCTGTATCTTCCCCGGCCACAAGATAGTTACAAACTACCGGCTGTATCTTCCTCAGACACAAGATAGTTACAAACTACCACCTGTATCTCCCTCAGCCACAAGATAGTTACAAACTACCACCTGTATCTTCCTCAGACACAAGATAGTTACAAAATACATTGCCTTGTTTTCTCTTTCGCCATTTTCGGGGATTGATTTTGATCTTGAATGTTTGAAAATGATCTTCAGAAGTTTTGTACAAAAATCACATTTCCACTAATTCTGATTAGCTTAGCTAATTATTCTCGTTACTCCTTACCCTAACGATGTTTTGGTAAATATAACGAATGAAAAGACATTGATACACAAATTTTATCGACAGACTTTGAAAATTTACAACTATAAAATTTGAAATGTGCACGTGAATGTAATAGCTTCAAGAATGCTGACAACATGCACGTTATACTATAAATACAATAATATAGAAAACATATTGTCACTTTCTGTTATTACCCTGATTATATTTCTTTGTAATTGCAGGATCCAAGATATAATGAAGAGATAATAGGCTATCAAGCCGAAGATTTATTGTGTATGCCAATCAAAAATGCTGATGATGAAATTATTGGTGTGGCTCAAGTTCTCAATAAAACCGGAAGTGAAGACGGCTTTGATAAAGAAGACGAAAAGGTAATAATATTATTCACTAATGTGTCGGGGATTTAGGTGCAGTTCAAATCCCCCTAGGACAAGAAACATTCTCTTTTACCACGCTAAGGCAGCTTTTTGAAAGTTTGGCTTGTATGGTTCTTACATGGAAATAACACACACGAACGCAGTTTACGGCCATTTTGAATCGACTTAATAAATCGAACTTTTAAAAGGCTTTGTATTTAGAAATGGCTTGAAATGTGATTTGAGGTTTTCTTGAATATTATCTTAAAAATATCTTAGGAAGATATTCAAAATGGTCGTGAAGAATACATTCGTGTGTATTATTTCCTTGTAAGAAAGGAAATGGCAATGATTATAGACTTCATAAATGACAGTATTGGACTCGTTTGATGGTTAATGATATTTGATAATGTGCATCAAGTACTTAAAGTTCACAGACTGTAGATAGATTGCGTGATTCTAAATTTATCATGACATTATTGCATTAGCACCAGTCTGATGTCTTTTTATGTCTTTGTAAGCCTTGTGATTTCATAATTAATCGAATCAGTATACTACAGAATAATATATTCGTGTAACGTTATGTTGCTTTCTCGAGTGACCTCGTTAACCTTGCCTCGCGGTGATCTAGAAGCGGTACGTAGTAGTCTCGATTCGAAAATAGTTCAGTTCATTTCAGCCCATACAAGCTCGAGTTGTCCAAAGCAGCTTAATTTATGTATAACTTGCTATCAAATGTGGAGAAAAATCAGTTTTGTTGGACACTAGCGACAAGCACAACATTAATTGGTGTTCTCGTTCACCCATCCAAGAACTAAACGAACCCGACGTTGGTTAACTAAAGTGATCAGACGATAACTGGTGATTTGAACGTGATATGACTGTGGACATAATACATGAATTTTTTTAGCGGAGCTATGTCGCAAAATAATGAAAATCTCGTCAAAAAGGAGTCTACAACACTCGGTGTTCCTAGGAGGTCACCCGCCGGAAATCTGAAAATTCACAATACATAAAACAACCACATCTGATGAGTTGACATTTTTCATTTGGTACAAACAATGCTTTTTGTGTAAAGCCAAAAACAAGAAGCAAAAATTCATTTACTTTTATTACGATCACTAAAGTGGCAAATTTCTACATAAACAAAGCACTTGAAAACACAATGAGCTAAGAAAAACGCAAATAAAACTATTGAAAAACAAAGAAAATATAAGAAAACATTTAGATAAATTAAAGGGGCGTGTGTGCTGGCTTCACAAAAGCAGATTCACGAAATTCATCAGGCTGCAATATAGTCACCTTTCTTGTATCACGGAAGCTTGTAAATCAGCGATTTGATTGGATTGTACGCTAGTAAATACAGTCAATCAGAGCCTTCGACGGGGAGTCTGTAGACAACAAGTCTCTAATTGGCTGTGTTCGATGGCGATTTGTCCACTCAAATCGCTGCATTCCGTAATACATGAAACGTAGCTATTGCAGCCAAGGTATAAATCGAGGTTCGTAATAGTTTGACATTGTGAAGATGGACATGATGGAATCATGTTTTAAATAATTTGATAATATGTGGGTTTTTGGTGATATTGGGAATAGTCATTAAGGTCAGAGGAGGATGTAATTGCTACTAAATTTTCTTTTTATTTGAAATTATAACTTAAAAAACTGTTAAAACCATCAGATTTTTAAAATATTTTCACCATATAATTATACAACTCTTCATTACTATGATGGAAGATAAATTGCCCCTGTAAATTGGCACACACTGGCACTTTAAAAGGATACTATCTCTTAGAATGTACATAGAATTTAAAGTCTCTAACTTGGTCAACAAAGTGTATATATTCATCAGTTGGATTACCTTGGTGCCATGACTAAAGAATAAACGATATATTAATTAAAATAAATAATTATTGAAAACGCTTCTTAGCACTCGTTTTGGGTCTTTCAACAGCTTTGAAAACAGACTCAGCAAAAACCACTTGCTGTGTCTTCGATTCTGTGGATTGGCAACCTTTGTATATCAACCGGTCGTGTCCTCGCGTTGCTTGTTAACAAAACCAAGAGTGTAAATTCTAGTAATATATATCTAATTTAATACCGCATGATGATGTTTCTTTAATCATTGAAATCCAACAGTGGTTTTCCTGGTAAACATGAACGCACCCAAACGGTTGACCGTGACAGTGCTGCTAGCGAACTGCTACATATCTCGGCAATGATATGTAGCCATTATTTACCAAAACTAAGTCCATGTTGTCACGTGATCTAGTAGTTCAAACATCAGAGGCTGGTTGTTCAAGACTACAAACGTTTGTAAGTCAATAACAAGAATCTCGCCAAAGAAGACACAACGAAATCTCCCATTCATTACAGAGCCAGATTCAGCTTTACGGAAACTGTCAAGGATTACCGAATGAAAAGCCCAATTCTTTCTGTTTTGAATATCAGGAAGCAATCGTTCGATCGCCGTGGCGTATCGTCAAGTTATCTAGTCTGTTTTATTGCAATATTATCACCCAAGCACACGATTTAATATCATTTTAATGGCACAGAAAATAGAGATAAAATGACGAGGTGTAAATTTGATGTAGTGTATCAATCATTATTAAGGTTAACTTTTACGGGGTAATGGTATGGAAAACATTCAGACAACGTAAATTCCTATAAAAAAAATCGTAAATAATATCAAGGAATATAAAACCTATTGAGATCGGTGGCTATCGAGAAACTTCTCATAAACCGTTACTTTCTGATGTAATATAATTTTTGTGAAGGCTAAAATACCGCGAAGAATAGATGTGATTATGCGAATCTTGATTCTTTCATCTCATAAAACACAGAAAAAGAATGTTTTTTTTATTGATAACATGATAAGCCTTCGTTGAATAACAAGATAACACGTGTTGATGGTAACAGGTCAACATGATATATTTTACAGATGATAACAGGTTTTTATTCTGTAACAAGATAAACCTTATTAATAACAACAGGGCTGGTTTCATCACTGATAAATGTATAACCCTTACTGGTGATAACAGGTAATCACAGATAAATAAAATAATTTTAACTGAATATAAAGGGTTTCATTACTGATAACTATATAAGCCTTCCTGATGATATCATAGTTTCATCATTGATAAACAAGATAACGCTTACTGGTGATATCAGGTTTTCATCACTGAAACTCTTACTCTTATCATATTTTCATTTAACAAGATATGACTTTATGATAGGTTGTCATCAAGATAACGGGTTTTCATCACCGGTTAACAAGATAACCCTCACTGATGATATCATGTTTTCAACACAAGATAACCTTTACTGCTGATATCTGGTTTTCATCACTGAAACTCTTACCGATAATCTTATGTTTTCAACACCGGTAAACAAGATAACCTTTACTGGTGATACCAGGTTTTCATCACTTAAACTCTTACTGATGATATCATGTTTTCAACAACGGTAAACAAGATAACCTTTACTGATGATACCAGGTTTTCATCACTTAAACTATTGCTGATGATATCATGTTTTCAACACCGGTAAACAAGATAACCTTTACTGGTGATACCAGGTTTTCCGAAAATTGTAGTGAATTTAAAATATAAAACTGGTTACTATCATCAAAAAAATAACTGCCTTACGTCAGTGTTGATACATTAGGGTTAAGAAATATATATAAAAACGGCTGTAATCAGACTATATAAAAACGAAATGATAGATATCATATATTATGGAATGTTTGTAGGTATCTATAATGGTTATTATCACACCAAATGATGGACGTTTCAGACATATTATTTTTGGAAAGATATAACGTCTCAAGAACATTCTTTTATCACACGTTAACATATTATCTATACATGAGTGCTAATTACAATTGATATATTATCATGTAAAAGTATGTTGATGTTTTGTAATGATTTTTTGATGAGCATTTTTTGATGAGTTCTCTTAATGTATAGTCATGTCAATATCGGCTAAAAAACAAGTAATACAAAGCAACAGGGCTGTTTTTAAAGGTACAGATTCGCCATTTTCGGAAGTTGATTTGGGTCATTGATATATGTCTTCAAAAGTACTGGAAATGCACAAAAATTCAGTGAGATGTGAACACTATTACTGATAAGCTTAACTAAATGAAATTCCTGTTTCTGAGACTAAAGTACAACTGGCCAAACGGATAGCGAATCTGTCCCTTTAAGGGAGACCCTCAACCCAGCGAAACTTTCGTTCCGTTTTTATTGGCTTTTATTTTTACTCCTATGTCCTCGTATGAATAGCCTTAGCCCTAACCTGATGAGATCTGCTTTTGTGGTATAGATTCCTAAACTTATGATTTTTACTTTTTATATCTGACTTTACAAGCTTTCTGTTTTTATTTTTTTTTGTGGTATTGGCATTAATAATGCTCAGATATTCGATGCTTATTCCAAGGAGTACGATAGAAACAAGGTATGTAATTAATAAAACACCATAATCATATAATTTATATAGACATAAACTATATTTCTTTAGGTCTGTGCTGGAGAGTTTGTAGTTGACTTATACGAATAAACCTATCAATCAATCAAAATTTGAAATCGGAAGTAACTGGCAATGGGTACAAATGAGTGGCAGACAAAAGTCCAAAACAAAACGTTTTTGCAATATCATGTGATTTTTGGTGTAGTATCCAATAGTTCAATTGACTGTTTTAGTCAGAGACGCTAGTGTTTCGATAGAAGTTTAAGAGGTCGCACACTACCTTATTAATATACAAAATTTGCGCAACCATCACGGGCAATATATTTCACCGTTACAAAATAAGTGGGAAACAGATCCTCGTTGTCTGTACTCGTTAGTTTAACTGACTTCCTTCTTTATTCTAATACCGAGATTCCATCGACAATTTTAAGATGGTTTCCATCATTTATGGATATATTAGAGTGCCATTCACATCCTTGAATTGAAACTGTTTTTGAATTGCAATCTCAGTAGTTGGTGTAAATTTATGTAAATGTATTGTTTGGATTGAAAAAAAGTGTATACTTCTTACAAAATGACGAATTACTCAAGCCCTCCTGCTGTGGAGGCGTTATTTGTGCAGTGTTCAGAAAGAAAGTTTCCTCTCAATCAGTCAATATGAGATATTGGATGTAGTAAACCATCTATTATTCTCTTTTCCACTCCCATTTTACCAGTCTTTCTTTTAATTTTTCAAACCATCAGGATGTTTGGACTTTGCTAGCTGATTTCAAATAATTCCAGCTGACTCTTCTGCCTATTTCTCCTAAGTATATTTACAAAATCGAAACATAAAATCATCATCGCTTCCCAGGATGAAGCCTTCGTCAGTTGGTTTTTGATCAGTGTGTCGAAGAGCACATAAAACGTTGTTCTGTAAGCTTAAATGCTATTTATCAACTTGAAATTAGACCTACAACAATATCAAGATGATGAGGAATAAATCAAACACAAAACAGTTTGATCTGCCATGGGCGGTGAACACACATGTATTTTATCGTCTGAAATGCTGATTGATTTTGTAATATGATCATGTTGATGTAATAATTTTAAAGAGAAGAATATATTGCCATTTTCAGGCATTATTAGAAGTGGTACATGATGTGTTTGAGGAACAAACATCGTTTGAAAATGTGATATTAAGAATAATGCAGCGTGCTCAAACATTACTTAAATGTGAAAGATGTTCAGTTTTACTGCGAGATGAATCTCATGAGGTAAGGTAGAATAATTCAAACTTTGATCAATTATTCATACTTTGATCAATAATTCATACTTTGATCAATAACTCATACTTTGAACAATAATTCATACTTTGAACAATAATTCATACTTTGAACAATAATTCATACGATGAGCAATAATTCAAACTTTGATCAATAATTCAAACTTTGAACAATAATTCATACTTTGATCAATAATTCATACTTTGAAAAATCATTCATACTTTGATCAATAACTCATACTTTGAACAATAATTCATACTTTGATCAATAATTCAAACTTTGATCAATAATTCAAACTTTGAACAATAATTCATACTTTGATCAATAACTCATACTTTGATCAATAATTCATACTTTGAAAAATAATTCATACTTTGATCAATAACTCATACTTTGAACAATAATTCATACTTTGATCAATAATTCATACTTTGATCAATAATTCATACTTTGATCAATAATTGAAACTTTGAACAATAATTCATACTTTGATCAATAATTCATACTTTGAAAAATCATTCATACTTTGATCAATAACTCATACTTTGAACAATAATTCATACTTTGATCAATAATTCAAACTTTGATCAATAATTCAAACTTTGAACAATAATTCATACTTTGATCAATAACTCATACTTTGATCAATAATTCATACTTTGAAAAATAATTCATACTTTGATCAATAACTCATACTTTGAACAATAATTCATACTTTGATCAATAATTCATACTTTGATCAATAATTCATACTTTGAAAAATAATTCATACTTTGATCAATAACTCATACTTTGAACAATAATTCATACTTTGATCAATAATTCATACTTTGATCAATAATTCAAACTTTGAACAATAATTCATACGATGATCAATAATTCAAACTTTGAACAATAATTCATACGATGATCAATAATTCAAACTTTGAACAATAATTCATACTTTGATCAATAATTCAAACTTTGAACAATAATTCATACTTTGATCAATAACTCATACTTTGATCAATAATTCAAACTTTGATCAATAATTCAAACTTTGAACAATAATTCATACTTTGATCAATAATTCATACTTTGAAAAATAATTCATACTTTGATCAATAACTCATACTTTGAACAATAATTCATACTTTGATCAATAATTCATACTTTGATCAATAATTCAAACTTTGAACAATAATTCATACGATGATCAATAATTCAAACTTTGAACAATAATTCACACGATGATCAATAATTCAAACTTTGAACAATAATTCATACGATGATCAATAATTCAAACTTTGAACAATAATTCACACGATGATCAATAATTCAAACTTTGAACAATAATTCATACTTTGATCAATAATTCAAACTTTGAACAATAATTCATACTTTGACCAATAACTCATACTTTGATCAATAATTCAAACTTTGATCAATAATTCAAACTTTGAACAATAATTCATACGATGATCAATAATTCAAACTTTGATCAATAATTCATACTTTGATCAATAATTCATACTTTGATCAATAATTCAAACTTTGATCAATAACTCATACTTTGAGCAATAATTCAAACTTTGATCAATAATTCAAACTTTGAACAATAATTCAAACTTTGATCAATAATTCATACTTTGATCAATAATTCATACTTTGATCAATAATTCATACTTTGAACAATAATTCATACGATGAGCAATAATTCAAACTTTGATCAATAATTCAAACTTTGATCAATAATTCATACTTTGATCAATAATTCAAACTTTGATCAATAATTCAAACTTTGAACAATAATTCATACGATGATCAATAATTCAAACTTTGAACAATAATTCATACGATGATCAATAATTCATACTTTGATCAATAATTCATACTTTGATCAATAATTCATACTTTGATCAATAATTCAAACTTTGATCAATAATTCAAACTTTGAACAATAATTCATACGATGATCAATAATTCATACTTTGATCAATAATTCATACTTTGATCAATAATTCAAACTTTGAACAATAATTCAAACTTTGATCAATAATTCAAACTTTGAACAATAATTCAAACTTTAAACAATAATTCAAACTTTGATCAATAATTCAAACTTTGATGAATAATTCAAACTTTGAACAATAATTCAAACTTTGATCAATAATTCATACTTTGATCAATATTTCATACTTTGATCAATAATTCAAACTTTGAACAATAATTCATACTTTGATCAATAATTCATACTTTGAACAATAATTCAAACTTTGAACAATAATTCAAACTTTGAACAATAATTCAAACTTTGAACAATAATTCAAACTTTGAACAATAATTCATACGATGAACAATAATTCAAACTTTGATCAATAATTCATACTTTGAACAATAATTCATACTTTGAACAATAATTCAAACTTTGAACAATAATTCAAACTTTGAACAATAATTCAAACTTTGAACAATAATTCAAACTTTGAACAATAATTCAAACTTTGAACAATAATTCATACGATGAACAATAATTCAAACTTTGAACAATAATTCAAACTTTGAACAATAATTCATACGATGAACAATAATTCAAACTTTGAACAATAATTCATACTTTGATCAATAATTCATACTTTGAACAATAATTCAAACTTTGAACAATAATTCAAACTTTGAACAATAATTCAAACTTTGAACAATAATTCATACGATGAACAATAATTCATGTGAAACACAATACGATCTGTCGAAATAATTTCCCAATACGAAAAAATTTCAATGCAAATAATTATAAAAGATATTTTCCTGTATCCCTAAGGTGTAACAAAATATTAATTTTTTATGATATGGATCGATGATTTAGAATTTTCATCCGAGATATGATTTTATGATAAACGCAACGGACGAACGAGCTGTTGATATGCGTTGCAAATGATGCAGATGTAATCCTGCGTTCAAAATCAGCCGCAATGTAAGATATCGCCTATAAGTTCCTGAAAATAAAAGAAGTAAATTTCCATTTTATTTCTTTTCTGATAATGAATATTTTGATTTTTTCAGACCAAATTTAATAAAGTGTTCGATTTGGCTTATCCTACGAAGAATGGTCATAATAACATGAAGTAAGCATACAGTTCATATTAACTGTTCAGAAAATTGTGAATGTTTGTAAACTTTTCGCTTTGATGGCCACCTTTCACTTACATTGCTAAATCCTGTGTCACTTCTAACGATCTATTCAAAAAGCGGAAAAAACTTTTCACTGTCTTTATTTTTTATTTGAAATCATCACTCTGAATTCTATTGTGATCTAATTTGATTTCGTTTTTTTGCACTTTCTTTTTCCTTTCTGGCACCATAAAGACGCCGTGTTGTTTACAGATCTGAAAATGGTGATATCACATCGTCAAATAGAGCACAGACCATCAGCAGGTAACTTTATTTATTACCAAATTTCCCTTCAATTCCCTCATACTCGCTAGCTCTCACCTATCTTGAACACCTGATGCCAGTATCGGGTATTCCTTTCGCTTGTAGCTAATTTTTAAGGCCTATAATTGCCACAGGGCGGCTTTTTCTGATGTTGAAGGTTCCAAAATTTAAATACAAAGTTTAACATTGTTACCGGTATATATTTTTGCATTTCAATAAATATCAAATAACGATCTTTAATACCGTGGAAGAGTGGATTAAATGTTCAAGGGTCTAGGCTTAGAATCAGTGGAGAATCAAGCTTAGACAGCACTCAGGCTCATTCATTTAAATTTTACACCTTTATTTCAATGTCATAGTTCATCAAAAAGACAAAAAGACATAAAAAAAAGTTACCTAAAATCGTTTACCTATAAGATATTTCATCTACATCGTCAATGGCTTCGTTCTATCGTTTCTTAGACTCGGATGCACCTCCGGGATGATTTTTTTTGTAGTGTAATATTAATATGAATAAGACACTAAATTTCTTTTAACACTATACATCAAATTTTTGACCTTTTTGGATTCATACAAAATTGAACTAAAATTTTATGATAAATGTATATTACGACTGGAAACTTCTAAAGTAACGCAAACCAGACACTGTAGCTGTTTTCTATTTACAAATTTAATTTTCTATTACAAAACTTCGCGACCTCTTACAATTTTGTTAATTTATTATATTTACATGTATGACATATCTCAAAGATAATGCAAATTTATAGGACCATATTTCCATTTTATTTCATGGCAAGTTAGAGACGTTTTTTTCTTTATTCGTAATGTTGTATTTTTAGTTGGCGCCATGACCCCCAATTCGTATTCCAGAATTTTAATTTCCGTATTTTGGATAGGAAGTCGAAACCCAAGAGATCTGAAATATAAATTGAGCCGACAGCCACATTAGCTTCTATTTATCATGGAATTTGATATCGATGTATATTCTAGACATGCCTGATAATTAATTTATAATCATGACGTGAACGTATTCATTACCACCTATTAGATTGAAAGTCATTTTACGTCACCAAATTATTATTATTTCATTAGATAATCGTCGTCTATCATCATCATCATCATCATTGTCGACCTCACTCGTTATCATCTTTAACCATCATAATCATCATCGCCTTCGTCGTTGTCGTCGTCTACATCATCATCGGCGTTATCTTCAA